CGTTTTTTGTAAGCCAAAGACGATAATTCAAGACAAAATATTTAACTTTTCAACCAAATAATATGAACTCAGAAAAAATATTGAAGTCATGAAATTAATGTTCATTTCGCACAAGAAGATCTTACTATAAAGACATGGTAGAGAAAGCATGGAATGGTCAAAATTACTGGTCTGTCTAGAAGGAGAATTTTTGGAGTTTTCTTATTTCGAGTCTTATCATGCAGAACGATTTTGATATCCGTAATAAGCGTATCAAATCCCAGCATATACACTTCTGTCGAACTGCAAAATCCTAAAATTCCAAAGGGTCATTTGGCGGAAAAGTATTTTTTGTTCTCCAAAATATACAATGTAGAGGAAGACCAATTATTTTTAATGTGTAGAATTTGTGTAAAAACTTCTGTCTGAAAGAGTCGCACAAACTTATTGCAAAACCTAATATATTATTTATCTATTAGCTCATAAAATTTTTATTGAAACTCTTTAATTTTACCATAGCATTTCCTACTGTCCCAACGAGAAAGACGATGAGATACATGAGCGCAGGCAGTGCAGCTTCAAACAGTTCCTCTTCCGTGAGACCAAAGAGCAAAGTGTTGGGCGCAACGACACATTTACTCACGCATACCTAAACAAATTAAGTAAATCCGAGGTTGCTCTTCCTGAACGTTTTGTGCTGATTTCTAGTAAGTAACTAGGTGGCGAAATTCAACTAAATTTTGGTTAATTCACTTTCTGTTTCGTAATTCGGCAAAGTGAAGGTTACTTTCCAAGAGTAAATTTCATGTACTTTTAAATGACTACTAGTTTGAGGGGATTTAAAACGTCAATTACTCTACAAAGAATTCGTTTTTTAACAAGCTGCAGTAATATAATCTCTTTTTGTCAGTGTGTCTTTTAATCACTTGATCAGTTATACCTGTTTAGTTGCATATAACTTAAATCATTCAGATTAAGGTGGGGTCAAACGATTATCTCCTTACATTTTGCAGTTGTTTTGCGATTGTTTTGGTATTTAAGAAATTTTCCTCAGATCTCCTACTTCAACCCTTCTAAGACTGCTTTTTGTCTGCATTCCAATAAGTTAAGGGGAAAAAACCTTTTACTGCAAGTGTAATTTAGTTTATAACAGATTAACTGAATGTCCTTCATCTTAATAGCTCACTTGAGAGGTGGCAAAGCAACTTAGAGTTGGAAAGGAAACGAATTTTGTTGAAAATTACATAAAAAGTGAGAAAGAAGCCTGCAAGGGAAAGGGAGGGGAAAGCGACTTTTCAGGCTTAGAAAAAATTGCCGTA